CCTAGGAGACATTAGTGAATGTGACATCTGTCTTGTTGAAGCAGAAATTTTCAGTGCAGTGGCATGATTTGGCTCTGTCTGTTTGGTGCTTCTGCTCTCTGCCATGAGAACGGCCTGCCCTGTAAAGGGATTTCTCCTTCAGTCTGGGTCCTGGAATGAGACCAAGTAGACTCACAATTGACCCACAGCCCCCACATAACACGTAACCCGAGGGAGAAATCAATAAACGTTTTGTAAATTGCTAAGATTTTAGGGTGGTTTGGTATGCAGTAAAGTTGACTAATCCCATGTGTTATGCCAGTTTTCCTTTGGATATTTTTTTAAACATTTTTTGAAGATTTATTTATTTATTTGAGAGAGAGAGAGAGAGCCAGTGTGCAAGCGGGGGGAAGGGCAGAAGGAGAGAGAATCTCAACCAGACTCCCCACTGAGTGCAGAGCCCAAGGCCTCCCAAAGATTTCATCCTTTACCTCCTGATTTGAAATGCCACCTTTCATTATATACTACATTTCTGTCTATACTCAGGTCTGTCTTTGTACTCTGTTCTCTTCTGGATTTCTATGTTTATTCCTGCCTATCATTTTAAAAGCTGCAGCTTTTTATTATTAAATAGGTCAGAGCTTTCCACATTCCTTTTCTTCTTCCTTTGTTTTCTCTCTCTCTCTTTTTTTTTTTTCGTGCAGAAAGGTGTTTTTATTATCCCTCTAGCAAAGCATTAACCTTTTTTTGTTGTTCCTTTGTTTTTTCTTAACCTCAAAGTGTTTGTTGTCTTCAGAATTAGAAATAATTTTGTCCAACTTTACAAGAAATTGCATTGGAGTTTTTGACAAAAATTTCTTTAAATTTATTAATTAATTTGGGGAAGAATTAAACACTGGAAAATATTGACTGGCCCATTCAGGAACTTTAGAAGTGATTTTCCTTTTATTCATACCTTCTTTTATGTCTCTGAAGTAAGCTTTTTAAGTTTTGTAAATATAGGTCCTACATTTCTTTGAAGTTTATTTCTGAGTGTTTTATGTACTTTGATTTGTGATGATACCCTTGGGTTTTTGTTTTTTTTCAAGTGATATATTAAATTCTTTTATGTAATAGGGATCTTTTTGTTTTTTTCGTTTTTTGTTTTTTTAAAGATCTTGTTTTTTATTTTTTTTAAGATTTTATTTATTTATTTGACAGAGAGAGACACAGCGAGAGAGGGAACACAAGCTGGGGGCGTGGGAGAGGGAGAGGCAGACCTCCTGCAGAGCAGGGAGCCCGATGTGGGGCTCGATCCCAGGACTCTGAGATCATGGCCTGAGCCGAAGGCAGACGCTTAACGACTGAGCCACCCAGGCGCCCCTTAAGTTACATTTTGAAGAAGGACATTGTAAAATACCTGATGTGCTTTTAAAAAGGCACCTTGTGCTTTTTAAAAATATAGAAAAGTAGTAATTGCCTCCAGCCCAACCACCGAAGTATTAAAATTTAGCTTTTTGATGTACTTTTCATTAGTCTTAATTTAAAAACATGGTTGAGATAATATTATATTCAATTTTATATCCTTCTATGTAGGGGAATTTTTTCTGAAAAATTCTTAGGCTTTTTGACAACCACATACTGTGACTTCACATGAATGCACTCCAGTTTTCAATGACGTTTTTCAATTTTGCTAATTTTTACAAATAAGAAGTCATTTTAATAGTGTGACAATGACAGTTGTGCTCATTTTGTAACCAAACCAAACGAGAGTTTGTCCATCCGATGCTCAGCAAGCCAATAAAAACTGACACTGAGTTTTTGCGGTGAAGGAAGATAGGCTATTTATTGGTGTGGTGCTACCTAGGAGAATGGGGAGGTAATGCTCTAAAGTCCCAAACTACCCAATGGCTTGCAAGTAGGGGTTTTTAAGGGCAAGATTTGGGGCAGGGTCTCCTGAGAAGGTGGACGCCATTAATTGGAGGCTCATGAGATCATGCTAGCTAGCAGGTGCTCTGGTGGAGCTTCGTCCGGTCCCCTGGAGGTCTTTTCTATCTCAAGAGACTTGGAATCTGAAAAATATCTTTGTTCTCTATGTTGGAGATTTCATTAGGTACCTCTGGTAATTATATCTTTAAAAAGATTTTTAAAAAGATTTTATTTATTTATTTGAGAGAGAGAGAAAGAGAGAACACGAGGGGGGTGAGGGGCAAGGGGAGAAGCCGGCTCTCTGCTGAGAGAGCCTGATGCGGGACTTGATCTTGGGACTCCGGGATCATGACCTGAGCTGAAGGTGGACACCTAACCGATTGAGCCACCCAGGCACCCTGGTAATTTTATCTTTACTTGTAAGTGAATGGAGTTCCATTCCTACAGGTTCCTTGGCCATTCCAGCTGTGCCTGGGGGCGATATGACCTCTAGAATTCATTCTTTCATCTCAGCTAACAAAATGGATGCTGGCTTCAAATTGCCTCTTAATTCCACAGGGAAGGTGAAGTCCAAGAGGGCAGGGACCTTGACTTTTTGTCTACCCCTGTGTCCCCAGGACCTGGGAACATGTTAAGCATAATAGACCTATAATAAACATTTGTGAGCTGATTGAATGATGAGTAGATCGCTGTGAAAAATGATAACGGCTTTCACTAAGCACTTGGGCACTCTCTTTGTAAATGCCCACACGCCTCTATAAGGCAGGCACTGTTATGATCTCTGTTTACTGCACAGGTAGAGAAATTTGAGGTTTAGAAAAGTTGAAGAAGTTGCCCAGGGTCATAGCTGTAAATAACAGAATCAGCATTTGCACCCAGGCTGTCTGACTCTAGAGGAGGGGCACTTACTAAAATAGAAGAAATCAGCAGGGGGATGGGTAAGGGAGAGCTGTGAAGAGATTACCCCTATAATGACCAACTGGGCCACTAGGAGCGGAAAGAGGTGAATATTCAGATACATTTTAGATCTACAGGAGGAGCATTCTGGGTTTGGATTGGTGGTTAATCTTTTGGGCTAAATCTAGCTGGAGTGAATGGAATGCCAGGTGGCTAGGGAAGAGGAACAATGGCATTGAATGTGATTCAACTGGAGCGTGTAAAGAAAGGTAGGTCCAGGGACTTAGGGAAGCCATTTGGGATGGGACATGTATGTTTTGGATGGCTACAGTTTACTTGCCTTGACCATGGTCGACTAGTTTAAGTTGAACTCAGAGCTCTGCAGTGAGATAACCTTATACACCTTCAAGTCCTGATCGTTTGTTTTGAAAGTGGAGGAGACTGCAAAATCAGAATGGGCATCAGCTGACCTCTCCTCTATTCCTTAGTTCATTTAATCCTCACAACCACCTATGAGATTTTTTAAATGTTGGCATATTTGAAGACTGATTTAAAAAGAAAAGATTTTATTTTTTGGAGGAATTTTAGGTTCACAGCAAAAATGAGCAGAAAGCACCGAGTTCTCATACACTCCCTGCCCCTACATGCACAGCCTTCCCCACTATCAACATCTGGAACCATTTGTTACAAATGATGAACCTACACTGATACATCATTATCATCCAAGCTCCATATGTTACATTGGAGTTTGCTCTTGGTCTTGTACATTCTGTGGCTTTGGACAAATGCATAATGACATGTATCCACCATTATAGTATCCTACAGAATAGTTTCACTGCCCTAAAAATTCTCTGTGCTCTGCGTATTCATCCCTCCCTCCCCCCAACCCCAGGCACCCACTGATCCTTTTTTTTTTTTTAAGATTTTTTATTTATTTATTTGAGAGAGAGAGAATGAGAGAGAGCACATGAGAGGGGGGAGGGTCAGAGGGAGAAGCAGACTCCCTG